CCCAGTGGAGGTCATCCCCAGTGGGGGTCTGAGCCTTTTTCCACTATGTTATTGATTTCATGATAATGATAAGATCATTGACCATTTGGTAAAAGTGTAAAAGGGGTCTGAGCCTTTTTCCACTATGTTATTGATTTCATGATAATGATAAGATCATTGACCATTTGGTAAAAGTGTAAAAGCTTTGGTAATTAGACTATTTTATTGGTTTCATGATATTGATAAGGAGGCAAATTGTCTCAAGTCTATATTTATTAACTATACAATTGAATTGAGCTCATAAGATTTATCACGCATTGCACTTCAATGATTTAATTTATCATGATTTATTTGTAAATCGTTCATAAATAAATATTAGTTCGATATTTGTAATCATATTTATTTATTTTTTATTTTGCAAAAAATAAATGGTAAAGATACTTTTGAAAATTAATTAATTATTTTTTTAAATAAATGTAATAAAATAATGTGACTTGAATTTATCGAACAATATGTTTTTTTTTCTTAAATAAATTATTTATAGAGATGTACAAAATAAATATATCAAATTATGGGAGTCGGGTTTTTGTGAGCTTCACAAGAAATTATTTTTTCCTCTTGTGGCAATACTATGTGGTCCTCCAACTTAAAATTCATTGGTTAAAAGTTCAAGGATAAATTACAGTATACTCAGCGAAGCCTAGGGTGTGATCCAAACATGCTATCACACAAGTAGGGGGTACAACCTATTAATGTTCCACACTTCTAGGTGGTGGAAAGGGATTTAGGTTTCAAATTATGACCACTTGAGGGTGGAGACATTTACATCTGCAGATTAGACAGATTCTATAGATGATAAAATGTAGATTTGGTTACTATCTAAAAATAAAAAGTGGGATTGCATTTCTCTCTCATATTATTTTCTTATGTGTTTTCCATTATAACCAATCTTTTTAAGTGAGAATATGAGCATTAAACTAACCCAAATATGCTATTGACACATACGAGGCTAAAACATGTAAAGCAAAGCAAAGCAAAAACTAACAAAGCTTTAAACTAACATGATCTACTTCCACCACTGAAATCCACTCCTTTCGCCACCCCAACTACCACCATATGTACTGCCACAGAAAATTACCACGTTCAACACTCATACCATCCAAACCAAGAGGTGTCTTATGGCTCTCTTGTATTTTTCTGTTGCTCCTTGAGGATAGGCATCATTTTCTACAAAGTTCCATACCCTCTTGTGCGGCCGCACGTGTTCAGTTTAGGGACACATCCAGCTGCACCCTGAAGCACGGATTTTCATGCAATCGTGTAGAATTTCCATGCAGACGTGCGAATTTCTCATGCAATGTGTAGATGGAGTGTGAAAAATAAAAAATGACAAAAGTGAAAATATGTGGTTGAATCCTGAGGATTAAAATCTAGTCATTTAATTTAATATCCTTAGTTTTCCAATCAAACAAACAAAGCTTGAAAAAAAGAAAGTTGTGAAATATGTACCCCTATACATGAACACGTCGTCATCCTCTCTCGTGTCCATAAACCGATCTAAGAATGCATGCGACCTTCAGCCCGTACTTCCCACAACTTCACGGTTCAATCGCGTGCCGCCTAGGCTGTCCGCGACCTGCGCCTACTCCGGCTTACCTAGCCATAAATGGTTTCTTAATTATGAGATAGTGCTTCTCATATATAGAATTGAAGGTGCATTATTTTAAGGAACCCTAATTGAAAAGTACTAACTAACATCACTGTAGACACCTCATTTTTTACTAGCCTTGAGACTTTGGCACTCTCTTTTGAGTTCTCGATGATAAAGACGGGATGTGCTAATCTTTACAAGTTCCATGACAAGAAACCTAAGGATTAAGCTTTGAACCATCCAATGCTTGCTTTGGACAAAATATTTTTTGACCAAAATGGAAACTTCTTTCAAAACAAGTTTTAGTGGTGTAACTCCGTATGCTACTGCAATATTCTAAGGCTCATATTTCCAAAATCAAAACAGTGTGTTCTTTCAAACAAGCTGAGCAAATAATGTAGTGGAAGTGAATAGGAGAGATGAAATCCTCTGAAATACTTGTTTCTCCTTTCAATTCAGGCTAACCTGCTCTTGTTGATCCAATGATGTACCAACTAGTTGCCCAGACACCATATGATGGCTAACTACAAGAGCACTCGACCGATCACCAGGAAGTTCGATCAGCTGAATGTTCAGGGTATGGAACATTTTCAAGAATTTTAGCTTGTTTTGCTTAACTACCACAAATATCTCAGATATTTATGACCTAAGCTCTATATATAGAGTTTGACAACTCATTTCAAAGGGTTGAAAAACTTTCCCAAGCATATGAAAGCTTGGGAGTTTCTCCTTCTTTTTCTCTTACTTCCTACCTACCACCTTCACTTTTTAACATTAAACCCTCTATTAAAGCTTGATCCTAAGCTTTGAACAAAGGACTTTGGACATTAAAGAGCACACTTAAAAGCTCTCAAGAGACCTTAAAGGAAGTTTGTGAACAAGAAAACATCATCATCTTTAAGAGGTGAATCCTTGGCATCCAATATCAAAACCTAAAAGAAATGAGTTGAAATTGAAATGAGAATAACAGCAATAGATCTACGAATCTCAGTAGATCAAACGATATAATTGAAGAGAAAAAATGGATCAAAGTGTAGATCTAAAAAACTCAAACCTATGAGTTAAGATTGGAAGGAGTGGAGATTGTAGATGAAGATTTTTGGAGATAATGCCGTGTTGAGAATAGTTGAGTGAGTTTTGCAAAGAGAGAGAAAGTTTGTTTTGTTAAGCTTTTATAGATACGGCACTGAGCTTATCTTCGGTCATGGGGATCCAATCCCAGATCGCCAATACCAACTCGTTGACGGCGTTGAGAAAAACAGAAGCAAAATCAGAGAGATGAGATTTGCAAGAAATACGACGCAATCTACAACGCCGCCCTTCTTTATGCCATTGTTGAGTACTTCCCAACCTTGCGAGCCCCGTAGCAAGATCGGATGATGGATTGAAAGGGACGTTGGTGGTGGGAACTTCCTACGCCGGTGATCAATGATGCTTATAAGAAAGAAATAAGAGAGATAAACACAATCAAGAGAGAGAAGACCCAACAAAGAGAGAGAGAGATAATTGATTTAGAAAGAGAGAGAGTGAGAGAGAAAGAAAGAGACGGGATTGATGGTAAAATAGAAAGATGTGTGGTTTTTAGAAATGATAATAGGTTGGGTTGGGGCGGGGCTAGGGATTATGCTCCCCATTTCTGATCCCTGAAGGTATAAAATTCCTCGTCCCCACCCCCTAACGGGAATCAAGTTTCCACGACCCCGAAAAATCCCCGTACAAAAACAACAAAATCATCAACAAGGGTGTTTGGTGTAGATTATATGGGGTGATTATGGCTTATTTTGATTTGGGAATCTGTGTCAGACTGTTTGGTATAACATCTGCTTACAGCTTTTTAGGCAAAAATAACATAAATAAGCTGATTATTTATAAGCTGGAGAATGGGTGCTTTTGGTTTTTGCTTTCTGATTATTAGTTTCTGCTTTCTGATTATTAATTTTTAACTTATAATAAGCTGCACCAAATAGCACCAACAACAACATCATCCCCGATCTGTTTCATTTTCATCAACATTAACATCATCAACAACAACATCATCAAAATCAACATCAAGAACCAAAATAACTATAATTACACATAAACATACACATACACAAATACCAAAAAATATATATAGAGAGACAGATAGAGACACACACACACATACATATATACATACACTCATACATGAGATCTGAATGTGTATCATCAACACAAATTTGAGATCTCTGTGTGTCATCAAACAGATCTGAGGTTTGTGTATCTGAGTGTGTCACAGAGAGAGAGAGAGAGAGAGAGAGAGAGAGAGAGAGAGAGTGTGTGTGTGTGTGTGTGTGTGTGAGAGAGAGAGAGATATGAGTAAAGAGATTATACGGTATGTCGGGGGCGATAGATGGCGGGGGAGGATGATGCGAGGTGTGAGAGATAGTGAATCGACGCTGGCAACGTCTGTACCTTCTGTTCATGTCTGCTCAGATCTGTCGTGGTAGAGGGAACTGACGCCAGACTATGAAGGTTCGGTAACTCTAGCATCGTAGCATAGTGATGACGCAAAGGAGGAGGCAACGGTGACTGCATCATTGTTGAGAGAAGAGAGAGAGAGAGAGAGAGAGAGAGAGAGGGAGAGAGAGAGAGAGGTATAATAGAAGGGTATATATATAAATGAATAGAGGGGTATAATAGTAATTTTAATTCAGAGGAAACAGGGACAGGGATGGAGACGGGGACAGGGACAGGGACAGGTTAGAGAGCGTATCACTGTCCCCGGCTCGAAAATTGTTGGGGATTCATTTTTGAATACCATCCCTGGTCCATTGAGAGTATTTTTCAGGAAAAACCCGTTGTAATCGGGGTTGAGGGGCTGGGTCCCTATCGAGTTGGTTCAAATTGCCATCCCTGGTGGTTTTAAATATATGGGGGTAGTTTAGTCATTATGCTAAAGTATGTCTTTATGGACATAATAATTTCGCGCCTTGACCTTTGGACAAAAGAAATTTAGATTTGGACTATTGGATAGAACGCCCTATTTTCAATCTATTATATGATATAAAATAATGTTAGAAAAAGATATTTTATAACAATTTTATATAATATAAAAACGTTGTGCTCTGTTTGAGATAAAAAATTTCAATATAATTTTCTCATATTTTTTGAATTTTTTGACAATTAAAATACACATATCATTTTATGATTAATCTAAAATCTAATTTACTTAAATTGAGTTAATTTTTAAATGGACTCTCGATTCATAAATCTAATTTTAAATTTCTTCAGTCTAAAAGTCCAAGTATCAAATTACTTTGTTTATAAGGATATGCTTTTGTAGAATGACCAAACCACCCATATATTTAGATCACACGTGTATCTCTCTTTTCAAACCCCCTCTATTTCCTCATAGATCTAATTCTCTATCTCTCTCTCTTTAATTGACTCCTCTATCTATCTCCATCAGAGGCGACGAACGGTTTGATCACCGCTGGCTGCCATTCTTGTGGCTCCCGTCGACCGTTGCTCTTCTCTAACAACTCTTCTGATCTTCGTGGCCGTACTCACTCTCTCTCTTCTCAGGTAAATCGTACTCATCCTCATTATACTCCACCACCGGGGGGGCCCAACTCCCAATCTGTCTTGTTTGCCGTCGTTGCCACCGGTATTGGATAGGTATTATAAGAGCAGTATGTTTCGATCTTCATATCCCTCTTTTTCTCTCTTCCCGAAGCCCTTTGAGTTCGAGGTTCTTGTTGAGCAGTGGTTCTAGGTTGAGATCTTCGTCTTTGAAGAAGCGGTTGGAGCCTTTCTGCCATGCCATCACTAACTGTCTTTCCTCTTTTACTCTTACAATGAATCCACTCCAAATGGAGGATCGAAGGGCGGAGACCGCTGATTCGGCATCACCAGTCGCCTAGGTCTCGACTATTAATAGATTCTACGTTATTGAATGAATCCAAAGTTATTTATATATATATCCTGATTTTGATGTTCTCTAATTTGTGTTCGTCTGATTTGTGTATTGTTTGTAGAGTTGTAGAAATTTGTCCTAGTTCTCTAATTTGTCCTAGATTTGAAGTTGTGGCTATTGGATTTTCATTGTCTTCAGTGTTCTTGTTTATTGATGGATCTGTAGATTTTGATAATTGAGATCAAGTAGTAATTTGTATTGATAATATATGTTTGTCCATACATGTAATTATGTATTTATATACGAATAACTTTAATTTCATTGTATGACAACCCCGTTCTGCATTGTACTGTTAATCTTTAGTTATGTTTATGATTATGTGCTTAATGTGAATTTGGATGCGAATTATGTGATTATATGTGTTTTTGAATTCATGTCTGTCCATTGTAGAGATATTTGTACTATATTCTGTTATAATATGAAATTGAGGGTCGTAGATGTGACATAAATCAAAATTAACTGTATCATTATGATTAACATAATTGTTAGAGCCTACGGTGAAATTTAATTAAAAATTGATTCAGATCAAATTAATTAGATTAAATTGATTAAAACTAAATGAGGTTAACTAACCTAAGCATGTTTAATTAAGTTAAGTTAATGACATTATATATATATGTTAAGTAAGGGCCTAGGCTTATAATTTTGAGTCCATCTTCAGCATTCGGCTGGAAAATACCATTTAGAGAGAGAGAGAGAAGTGAGAACTCAAGACTAAGGAGAGGAAAACTTGAAGATTGGCTTAAGGGATTGAGGAATTGAAAAAGATAACTCAAGTTCTTGCTAGAATTAGGAGAATTGAAAACTCTAGGGTCAATTGCGAGGACAAATCAAGCAACTGAACACTGTGAGTAATATCTTAGTAAAGATATTTTACTTATACTCTATTTTCTGATTGTTTACATGTGGTAAAATTTTCTAAACCTATGATTTGATAAATGTGAATGGGTTACCATCTTCTGTTTGAACAATATGATCTTAATGAGAATATTATCTGTACAAGTAAATGACATGACATAAACATGAATAGTGGACGTAAGGTCATTCTATATATATATCTGAATAATGGAGCAAAGTCGCTCGAAATATCTAAATTGGGCTTAAGGCCATTTGTGTATTTGATAAAGTGGACCCAAGGTCGTTCTGGATCTCTGATAAGACTGATTGACTGATATGATATAATTGAATCTCTGACTAGTTTGAATGGCGGATATGCAATTGCAATAATTGATTGGCCATTATATTACTGTAAATGATTGGACCCAAGATCGTTTTGATAAGAGAAAATTGAATCCGATCGGTGAGTTTGTTAACTGTTGGACCTATAGTCATTCTGTACATTGTTGGGCCCAAGGTTGTTCTGTTGACTAATGATTGAACTCATACTGTATATTTTGCTATTTGTTAGACCTAAGGTCGTTCCGTCGCATATTGGACCCGAGGTCGTTCTGATGTAAAATGCTTATCTGTTAAAAAGGGCTCAGTCACTCAACCTTTTTACTTTGATATTATTCATTGAACGTTAGCTCACTCTTTATTTATATGTATGTAGGTGAGCAGCAGGATGTCCAACCTCAGCCCTAGTGAACCCGTTAAGGATATCTGATATCGTGGAGCCTGCTATGGATGTCTCACGTGTGAGGCTTTGTTTATGATTTTTTTTGTGGTCCCATAGGACCAAGTTTGTATCTAAGGATATAACTTAGTTTTTGTGAAGATTGTTTTGAAATGATCCTTGACTTATGTATATATATAGATATCCTAAATGACTGTCTAATGTAAGTTATCAATATATTGTGAAAAGTTTGTGTAATGCCATATATGCACAGCTCATTGAACAAAGTTTCTAATTCTGCTTCCATTTCTGGCCCCCTTTCAATATTAAATGTGACTAATTTCTGACTGAGGCCGTAGGTAATCTCATGATTACTGGTCGGTTATGATCCTAACCTCTAGCGGCGAGTTCGGGTCACGACAGAGTGGTATCAAAGTATAAGTAATAACTCATACACTTGTCCAAATGAACAATAAAGTGTCTAGAAAAGACTTAAGTTGCATTCATGTGATAAATATATTCTTGAATTCATTAAGAATATGCTAAAGTGTTTTGAAATATGTGATTACATGACATATACACTGTTGCCTGTCTGTATATGCATGCTCTTTCTGTCTGTGTATATTGTGTACCTTATTTTTGTATGAAATTTAATACAAGTCTCATCAGATAATGGTAAGAACAAGATCCAACGAAATAGAAGAATCTTCTACTGCCAGGCTAGACTGAATAGAAAGACTGATATAGGATATTGCAGAAACACTAAGGCAACAACAACAGTGGCAACTACCGTTACCCTCACCTTCGGTACAACCTGTGCACGACTTACAAAATGATGACCGAATAATAGCTCTCACTAAAGAGTTTAAGAAAATAAAGCCACCACTGTTTCACAAGGGAGTGGATCCATTGAAAGCAGAAGCTTGGGTCCATGGTATTGAAAAATTATTTGAAGTATTCCCATGCCTTGAAACACAGAAAGTACAGTTGGCCACCTTTACACTGGAGGATGAAGCAAGAAGGTGGTGGATGTTAATTCGTAATGACAACAAGGGCATATGCTAGACACGGTTTCTTGAGCTCTTTTATGATAAGTATTTTTCACAGTGTGTCCATGATAGAGAGGTGTCTAAATATGAGGGGTTGAAGCAAGGCAATATGATTGCAGTTAAGTATGAGGCCAAGTTTACCGAACTGGCTAGATTTGCACCGCATATGGTTGACACCGACTATAAAAATGTGAGAAAATTTGAGGGCAGTCTTCGTAACGATATCCTGGAAAGGGTGAATGTACTGAAATTTCCTACTTATGTTGATGTGCTAGACTGGGCTTTAATGTCAAAAACTAATATGGCCAATCAAAATAAACCGTTTGAACGGAAAGGCAAGAGGCAAGGCTTCTTTTTGAAGAAGAAGATGTTTAAGAAGCAAATACGGGTTCATCGAGTTCTAGCCCTTCAAGGGACTCTGCATCAACATGTAACATCTGTGGTAGAAAACACCAGGGAGTTTGTTACCACACATCTGGGGTGTGTTTTCGATGTGGCAAAACTGGGCATTTGGTTAGGTGGAAGACCATCCGTTAGCTCAACTTGATCTATCCGTGAACCAAGGAACACCGTGAGACCTAACGCTACCAAAGACACATTGAGGCAAGAGAGAGTCTTTGTACTCGTCCCAGGTGACCTACAGAATACTAAAGCTGTTGTCTCAAGTACTATCTCTATATGTAATCAAGATGCTTTTGTGTTAATGGATTTCGGATCCACACATTCCTTTGTGTCTACTACATTCGCATTTAGATTAAATAGACCCTTAGAATCATTGCCATACCTATTGTATGTATCTGCTCCATCTGGAGAGTCTCTGTTATGTACATTTGTGTACCGTGTTTGTGATATGCATATTGGCAATGTTACCTTATTTATAGGTTTGTTACCTTTGGATATTAGACACTTTGATGTAATTATGGAAATGGAATGGTTGTCTAAGTACTATGCTACTATTGACTGTGTAACAAAATGGATTATGTTTAGATCACCAGGACATGATGAATTTGAATTTGTTGGTAATGGTGTAGTGCCTCCACCTTATCTAATTTCAGCAATGAAAGCATGTAAACTTCTTAGGAAAGGGTCTTAGGGTTACTTGTGTAGTATCTTGACTGAGAAATCTATGAATGTTGAATTAGAAAGTATTCCTATTGTTAGAGACTTTCCGGATGTATTTCTTGATGAACTGCCAAGGGAATTGGTTGATAGAGAAATAGAGTTTACCATTGATGTTGTACCAGGCACCCAACCCATCTCAAAAACCCCTTAGAGAATGTCTACTACTGAAATGAAAGAATTAAAAGAGCAGTTGCAAGACTCGCTTGATAAGGGTTTTATTAGACCAAGTACTTTGCCTTAGGGTGCACCAGTATTGTTTGTGAAAAGAAAGATGGGACCTTAATTGATTACAGGGAGTTGAACATGGTAACAATCAAGAATAAATATTCATTGCCCCGAATTGGTGATTTATTTGACCAGTTGCAGGGTTCACAAGTATTTTCAAAGATCGATTTGAGATCCAGATACCACTAGTTGAAGATGAAAGCATAAGATGTTGAGAAAACCGCATTTAGAACAACATATGGACATTATAAATTTCTGGTTATGCCATTTGGAGTGACTAATGCTTCTGTAGCATTTATGGATCTTATGAACCGAATTTTTAAATCCTACCTTGATGAGTTTGTTGTGGTTTTTATTGATGATATTATGATATATTCAAAAAGTAGAATTAAACATGAACAGCATCTGAGAACTGTCTTGCAAACACTTAGAGAAAAGAAATTATTTGCTAAAATTGAAGAAATATGAATTTTGGTTGGATGAGGTTGTCTTCTTAGGGCATGTCATCAATAGAGATGAGATTTCTGCAGACCCACAAAAGATAGAGGCAATTGTGAACTAGCCTTCACCGACAAATGTAACGGAAGTCTGTAATTTCACGGCCTTAGCTGGGTATTACAGACAGTTTGTAAAAGACTTCTTCAAGATAGTTGTACCGCTCACCTAACTTACACGCAAGAGACAACTGTTTGAATGGAATGATGAAAGGGAATCTGCATTCCAAGAACTTAAAATGACATTGACTACTGCACTAGTGTTGACATTGCCTGTAGGTACGAAAAATTTTGTGATATTTAGTGATACTTATTACAAGGGTTTGGGTTGTGTGTTAATGCAAAACGGAAGAGTAATTGCTTATGCCTCCCGACAATTGAGACCACATGAAAAGAATTACCCGACGCATGACCTGGAATTGGCCGCAGTAGTGTTTGCTTTGAAAATTTAGCGGCATTACTTGTATAAGGCAAAATGTGAAGTTTAAACGGATCACAAAAGCTTGAAGTACTTCTTTACCCAAAAAGAGTTGAACATGCAAAAGAGAAGATGGCTCAAATTGATAAAAGGCTACGATCTTCAAATTTAGTATCACCCAAGTGAAGCCAACACTGTAGCCGATGCTTTGAACAGAAAGTCAACGGGGAGGGATTTGAAAAGGGAAATGGAAAAGGTAGGTGAAATGTGAATAAAATATGTATATATTTCACATAGTGAACAAGAAGAATTACTAATGCTGTGTTTGGTTGGAGAATTCGGGGAGGGATTTGAAAAGAGAAATGGAAAAGGTAGGTGAAATGTGAATAAAATATGTATATATTTCACATAGTTTCACACACCTTTTCCTTTTCCCTTTCCAAATCCCTCTCCAAATCCCCCAACCAAACACACCATAAAAGATTTTGAGAAATCCGAGATTAAAGTAGTATTACATGAGTAGGGCGGATTGATAGCTGCCATTTTAAACCAACAATAATTGACGAGATCAAACAGAAACAAATGGAGGATGAGTCCCTCAAGAAGATAATTGATGAGTTTGAAATGCATCTGAGACTAGGATTTAGTGTAGAGAATGAAGTGTTGAAATTCCAAAATAGATTGTGTGTTTTGAACATCTCTGATTTAAAGAAGAGAATTCTAGATAAAGCCCACAAGTCAATGCTTGTAATGCATCCTGGCAACAACAAGATATATCAAGATTTGAAACAAAGCTATTGGTGGCCTAAAATGAAGAAAAAAAATTGCAGAATATGTATCTAAATGTCTTAAATGCCACCAGAAATCGACAAGTCTACTTCAATCTCTTTCTATTTTCTAATGGAAATGGAAATATATTACCATGGACTTTATTGTTGGACTGCTTCGAACCCCAAGAGGTATGAATTCTATCTAGGTTATAGTTGATAGGCTAACTAGATCTGCACATTTTCTTCATGTTCGAACCACTTATGATGCATATAGATTGGCTACCATTTACGTTGATGAAATTGTCCGTTTACATGGAGTGACGGTATTTGTTGTGTCGGATAGAGATCCGAAATTTGTGTCAAGATTCTGGAAAAGCCTACAGAGAGCAATAGGAATAGAATTGAGATTTAGTATTGCATTCCATCCACAAATTGATGGACAATCAGAACGAACTATACAGACTTTGGAAAATATGCTCAGAATGTGTGCGTTAGATTTTTAGGAAAATTGAGAAGATTACTTACCATTGACAAAATTTGCGCATAATAACAACTTTCATTCTAGCATTGGCATAGCAAAGTATGAAGCCTCATATGGCAGAAAATGTAGATCACCGATATGTTGGATAGAAGTCGGGTATAAAGTTTTGCTTGGGCTTGAAATTGAGCAAACTACCACTGAAAAGATTCAAATGATTCAGCAAAGACTCAAGACAGCTCAGAGCCGACAAAAAAGTTATGCGGATGTTAGAAGAAGGCCTCTTGAATATGAAACTAGTGATCATATGTTCATCTGTGTAATTCCAATGAAAGGCCAATTGAGATTTGGTAAGAATGGCAAGTTGTCACCTCGTTATATTGGACCATTCCAAATTCTAGAGAGACTTGGTCCCGTTGCCTATAGGGTTGTTTTATCGTTAGGTATAGAACAAATGCACAACTTGTTCTATGTGTCCATGTTGATGGGCTACCTCTAGGATCCATTTCATGTTATAGACTATCACCGGATAGCGCTTAATGAGAATATGGAATATGAAGAATGGCCAGAACAAATCATTGATTGACAAGTGAAACAATTGAGAAACAAATTCATTCCAATGGTGAAAGTGGAATGGAAAGAGCATTATAGAAGTGAAGCCACATGGGAGAAAAAAGATGAGATGTGACAACACTACCCACGTCTGTTC